TTACTCTTATAAAGCACTATTATTTACTGCCTAGGAAGTTTATTCGCTTTTGTTTTTCTCTCTGTCTGCCTCTCTCTCTCTCTCTCTATATATATATATATATATATATATATATATATATGTGTGTGTGTGTGTATGTATATATATATATATATATATATATATATATATATATATATATATATGTTTTACACAAAATATTTCAACACTTTTTTCTTTTTTTTGTTAATGATGTATGTCAATGCATTTTCTTAATCTTACAGATTAATATAAAAAAATTAGACATAAAAAATTCAGACATAATTTTTCTAATACCTTTTTCAAGTTACGGATGTATACACCGATACACTTTCGTCCATATATATATATATATATATATATATATATATATTGTTAAATATAACAGACAATGAATGTCTAATTTGTCTGATCATGAGCCGTTCTAATGTTCGTATATTTGCTTTAATTTCGGGGTGAAAATGAAGAAATTGTCCAACATTTGGATATTTTTTATTAATTTGGTCCTTGATCTAACATTAGCCTTCTTCTGAGTGGTTATACGGACATTTTAACAAACATATTCCCCATCGCAGGTAGTAAGTTCAAGATGCTGTTCTATGACGTTATAACACGCGAGATGCCGAAATATCAACAACAGAAACATATGTTTAGATGCAATGTAATGTGTTTTGACTAGTTTGAAATGTAATTTTGTTGAGTGTGGGTTGCTTTTTTTCATTGGAGATGGCCTCCAATATCTGAAGGTTGTTTTTATTGTATGTATTTGTAAGTATTCTTGCATTATCAACTAATATCTGTCTAATATTATGTACATGGCTATGTTTTCCTAAGAAATGTTGTTATATATATATATATATATATATATATATATATATATATATATATATACAGGGTGTATCAAAAATACTTTGGGGTAAAATGTCTATATAAACATATGTCCAAAATATCATCGTTGTACACAATAACTCATAACAAATGTTCAAAATTTCCGCTTGCTTCTACACACGCGTGCAGCCGTCGGATGATTGACTGGCTGACACTGTCAATTACTCTCACACGGTATCGAATGGTTTCGCAGGCCTCCATGACATGTTGATGTAGCGTCTCTGCATTATTAATGTCTGTTGTATAAACCAATTGTTTTAGATGTTCCAACAGAAAAAAATCTACCTGTCCATGTTTTATAGTAGATGTCAGCCAGTTGCAAAGAATGTGACTAAAATATGCTGGAACTCCGTCATGCATGAACCACATGCTTTTTCGTATTAGCTGGGGTACATCCTCTAGCAGGTCTGAAAAACTGTTCGAAATAAAAGTCCTTGTAGATAGCTCCTGGGAGAACATATGGACATAGCAAACAGTCACCTACAATCATAACTCACACATTAATCGTAAACTGGACCTGGTGTTTTGCCTGTATTGTACCATGGGGATTATGATCCGCCCACAAATGTTGGTTGTGTAAATTTGTTATTCTATCTTTTACAAATGTTACCTCGACGGTAAACTAGACGGAAGAGACAATCAATGGTAGTTTGTACAATAAAACATCAGTAAATGTTCTCCTGTGATGAGTGATCAGAAGGCGAAAGACCCTGCACACTTGCAAATTATATGTATACAGGTGATGCACTTGAAGTATCCTATAATGCGGTACTATGAGATGTTCGACATGGTAAGGCCCCTTCACGTGTGATGATACCTGTGTCGTTTACGTTAAACGTTGAAGACAGACTAGCCACAAATGTACACGAATGACAAATGTAACCTCGTCCCTACAGCAACACACTGCCATCTAATGCAAATTGCCTTTAAGCTTAATAACTCAAAATTTTTGATACACCCTGTATATATATATATATATATATATATATATATATATATATATATATATATATATATATATATATATATATATATATATATATATATATATATATATATATATATATATATATATATATATATATATATATATATATATACACACACGATACTTATCGAGTATCGAATCAGCGTGTCCTTCACTCTCATTTCTATAAAATATTCCGTTAGCGCAAAAATAACAGTTTACTGTAATTTTGTAAAAGAAAGGCTTTAACTTTAAATTTCTTTCACTCAAGATAACCCTAGATACCAAGTCATCTGACTATAATAATATTAACAATTTAATTTGATATCGATCAATATGAGCATTTGGTCAACTCAGAAAAATCCTGAGATCTAATGTGCTAAATTATTATAATAATTATCTTCTTATGCTATCCAACTATCTTAGTCATGATTTACTCAATTTTAATGATGCAACTTTAATTTATACAGATTTTCATCTTTGGATGTGTTCCTTGTTCTTAACATTAGTTGACTCAAGATTCTTTAATATTAATTATCTGTATTACACAAAAACTTCACATTATCAAATATATAGAATAAAATATAAAAAATTATTTCTAGTTTCATATTTATATATATATATATATATATATATATATATATATATATATATATATATATATATATATGTAAAGAAATAACAGTAAGATATATAATCCGGTGTTCTTATAGATATTTTATTTTTACCAAATAGTGCTCAATGTAAATTTACAGAGCATTAATATTATAAATTAATCGATTTAAAATATCTTTTTTTACACAGTTCTAACCATGTTTCAAAAATGGAAGCTGAAAGATTCGAATTTAATTTTGTAATTAAATTAAAGACATTAGTTCCATTTCATCCTCAAAATTACAAAATTAAATTGAAGCTATCAGCTTCCATTTGTGAAACATGGTTAGAACTGTAGCGAAAACATATTTTTAAATTAATTAATTATATATATATATATATATATATATATATATATATATATATATATATATATACGAGTTCTTTAGGTTGTGCTTATAAAATTTCGCCAGCCGAGCCTGTGTAGACAAAAGGAGCATTTTATGCGCTCCTTACGGCTGTTGGAAGGACTGTGAGTGTCTTTTCCCATTTTATACTCTTATGAAACTTGTTATTATTTTTTTTTTTAATTATTTACAATTAAAAAAATATTTTATTTTAATCGCGTTCCAACTTTCCCTCCTCTTTCGTTATTATTCCTGTGTCCTTGATTGTTTTGCAATTTGCCAACGATCACCTTTGAAAAAGTGTTGGTTGAAATCTACCTTAGGTGTCAAATGATGTCCATTTTGTTCAAATATATATATATATATATATGAATTTCCATCTAAATTACGCAAAAATGAGAATAACACTGACATCTCATTTTAACATATACGTTTTAATAAAAATATCTTGAAATACTAAAGAATAAATTTATTCAATAAAATCGTTATTGGCTTCAACCACGGACTCTAGACGACTTCGGAATCTCCTGCAACTCTTCTGGACGGACTCCTTGTTTAAGTTGATGAATTCTATCATAATTCTTGCCTTCAGCTCATCTTAGATGTTACAAGGAGTTTTGTTGGTCTCTCGTTCAACTGGAGCCCACACAATAATCAAGGGGGTCGTAGTCTAGGGAGTTAGGTGGCCAGATGTAAGGGGTGATGGGGTCGCACAAATTTCCTGACAGCCATAACTGGGTTCTCTTGCTTGTGTGTCATGGTGAAAAGTCCTGTTGCTAGACATAGGCTCTTTCATCACCCACACACTTGACCCAGGACAGCACTACATCCTCAAGGCACTTGATATAGGCCCTTATTGAGTCTCAGAGCCTCACCAACAAATTGAAAGATCAGAGAAAGTTTTCCGAGCTGCCGTACTTTCGTAATAACCATTAGACTCATCCAACTCTTTCCGAATCCTCTGTACTGTCCTCAAATTGACACTCTGAAAATGTTTGTGTTAGAGCTTCCGGTGCGAATGCCAAGCAGTACAGCATATTGTTTCCAAATTTCTGATGTAGTGAATTGTATCATGGAGCTCTTTTTCTTAAAGACAGTGCCCAACTGAACCTACTATACTGTATAGTCGACAAAATCAACACACACACACACACACACACACACACACACACACACACACACACACACACGTGCGCGCGCACGCATATGCATATATGACAGAATCTCTCTGCGTGTGTTTGCGTAAGTATATATGTATGTATTCATTTTTATCTCTATAAAACAAATAAAAGGGCCCCGGGGTTTTTTTTAAAAAAAAAAATTTTCCAAAAAAAAAACCCCCCCCCTTTTTTTTTTTTTTTTAAAAAAATTTTAATTTTTTAATTTTTAAAAAATATTTATTAAAAAGGGGAAAAAAAAAAAAAAAAACCCTTTTTTAAAAAAATTTTTAAAAAAAAAATTTTAAAAAAAAAAAAAAAATTTTTTTAAAAAAAAAAATTTTTAAAAAAAAAAAATTTAAAATAAATTAAAAAAAAAGGGGGATTTAAATTTCCCAAAAAAAAATTTTCCAAAATTTTAAAAAAAAAAAACCAAAAAATTTTTTAAAATTTAAATTTTTTTAAAAAAATTTTTTTAAAATTTTAAATTTAAAACCAAAATTTTTTTAAAATTTTTTTTTGGAAAAAAAAAAAATAATTCAAAATTTTTTTTTGTTAAACCAAAAAATTTTTTTTTTTAAAAAATTTTTTTTTATAAAAAAAAAGGGGAAAAAAAAAAATTCCAAAAAATACGGTCTGTGTATCCACTGGTGTAGACATGTCTACTTAAGACTTTATAACGTATACTGACTGGTTATTTTTTTTTTTATATATATATATTTCTGTATTTAAATCTAAACAAATAAATATAACTGCTTTATTAATTTTCGGCGTATAAGCTAAAGAAATTAAACGTCATCTTTGCCTGGCTTCGCGTTGTGCCTGTTTTGATAAAAAAAAACAAAACAACAAAAAACACCAACAAAAAACAATATATTGAAATTTTATTGGACGATAAATATAATATCAATAACAAAATAAAATGTAAAAGGCTTATCTATTCGTGCTTACATCTGCATATATCTACAGATGCGGATAAGTGCACAGCGTATTCATATTAAGGTGCATATTGTCTGAAGGTTCTGTCTCCCTTACGAGGCAATGAAAAATTTAAGAAAGTAACTTATACACACACAGATACACGCACGCGCACACACAAACACACACACACAGACCCAGATACACACATACAGACACGTACACACACATACGCACACGTATACACACACACACACACACCATATAATACTACGAGAACTAATGAGGAAAAATGTATATTTACTACTAATATACTGCTCTGTTATTATACATAGAGTATTATTTTATTAACACCACCACAATGTAAACAAATCTATCTATTCATCTATTCATTCATTCATCTATCTATCCATCTATCTATCTATCTATCTCAGCCTGTATCGTCTCTCTCTCTCTCTTCTATATATATATATATATATATATATATATATATATATATATATGTAAATGTGCGTTTGTGGGTTTATATAATAAAATAACTTATTTATGATGTATATATAAGAAATCTTTGGGCAAAGTAAAGCTTAGTTCAAAGTTATATGATTGCTAACAACAGTTATAATGGAAATAAGAGAGAATAAAAGATTTTATTGCACATGCCTCTCCCTCACTCTCTCATGTCTTTAATTTAATTACAAAATTAAATTCGGAGCTTTCAGCTTCCATTTTTGAAACATGGTTAGAACTGTGTAGCGAAAAAACATATTTTAAATCAATTAATATATATATATATATATATATATATATATATATATATATGTATATAATTTTGCAGTATATATATATTATCATAAAGAGGTAATTATACAAAGAATAAATTAGCAATGTTAACGTAATTAATAGCGAAATCAATTAACAAATGCGAAAATGTTCGAAAATATTCGGCCTAGCAACATCTGACAAAAATTTAAACATAATGATCGCGTTATTCAATGAATTATTAGTAAGTTAATGTTTATCTAGTCTTGTTAGCGATGAGATTTCGGCATTAATTACATTAACATTGCTAATTATTCTTTGTAAAATTAAATTTTATATATAATATAAATACTGTAAAATTTAATATACTTAAGAAAATCAATATATATATATATATATATATATATATATATATATATATGTATATAATAAAATATAGATTTGTTATAATATATTTGTAGATAAAAGTGCTCAATATCAGGATATAACGTAAGTAAAATTGAGAACGCGACGGTCAACAACTTTCCATAGAAACAGACCGTCGCCGCTTGCGTTAGCTCCTCAGTATCCAATTATCTATCTATTCATCTATCTATCTATCTATTCATATCTATCTATATATATATATATATATATATATATAAATCAAAGAAAATTCTAATCAACATCCAAGGATTACCTTTTCTCAAAATACTTACCTATATTCAAATGATAACTTGGTTAATTATCCTATTTCATTTTAACAAAATACTTTTACATTTAGTTTGATCTTCATTACTGGAAGATTGCGTTCACGCACGAAACAGACTGTCGACGCTTAGCGTCCATATATATATATATATATATATATATATATATATATATATATATATAGATAGATATAGATAGGATAGGCAGATAGACAGAAAATATGGCCTAACGATTGGTTTAAATATGAAAAATGCTGGGCTTTGCCCTCAATGTCTTTTTATTTTAAATATCATCTCTATTGAGCACTTCAAAACATAAAGATAATTTTTTTAAAAACTATAAATATATATATATATATATATATATTTTAATTAAAAAACAATTTTTATGAATAAAAAAGATTAAATATATTTTTTTGTAAAATTTATTTAGTGAAAACCCATTGTAGAAGATTTATTTTTTTTATTAATAAAAAAAAATATAGGGTTAATTTCGTTATTTTAATGGATTTTTTTCAGTATACGGGTTTTGTATGGGGTTTTTGGGATGTTTTTTTTAAATCACTTATTTAGTGATTTATAATAAAGGTCTGTATTGACTTTCTAATAAGTTGGTTATTGTACTTTGAATTATTTTTAGGGGAGATGATCTTTATGATGTCTATTTTTGTTAGTTTTTTTATGGTTTCAAAGATTTTATAGTGTCTTGGGAGTTTTCATAAATATCTATTTTGGAATAGTTTGATTTCCTTTAACGATATTTTTTGGCTTCATGTTTCGAAAGAGTTCTTTTGTATTGTTTGCTTGATAATATTCTGTTTGGGTTTTTATAAAATCATGGAAAGGGGGTTTTTATTCAATTGGGGGATTTTGACACCCGTATGATAGAAAAGTTTCTTTTATAAATAAGTTGTGTAAATTATTAATTTGGGGAAAGAACATTTTTTTTTTTTTTTTTTTTTAAACCCCTTGAAACTATTTCTGATTTGTTAGGTTTGATTTCACATCTTTTCTTTTTTTTTTGATATTTTTTTTCTTAATCTGAACTTTTGTAGGGGTTATTTTAAAAGGTTTTTTTATTGGGGTTTTTAGATTACCCAGTACACCAACATGACATGTTTTTAAAAAAATTGTTAATTAAAAAAAAAAAGACTTTATATAATGAATTGGGCCCATAATGTTTTTTTTTTCATTTTTTGAATATCTAAAATTTTTCCCAAAAAAAGGGTTTTTTCAATATTGATAATAATTATCGTGTTTTATTCCTCCGGGGAGTTTTTTTTTTTTACCCAGAGTCAGTATAAAAAAAGGAAAGAATTTTAAAAAAAAATCATTTTTTTTTATTGATATCTTAATTTTACACCCTTTTTCTATAAACCTGTCTCCAGTTTGTTTACATTTATTTTGTGCAATTTTTTTTTTTTAAAAAATTTTTTCCATGATCCTTCCCTAAACATTTTAAAAAAACGGACCCAATTATGTAATATTTGAACCGTCAAGATGCATTTTGAAAAAGCCCCAAAAAAAATAAAGGTTTTAATTTCGATTTAAAAAACGAATCATTTTTCCCGACTAAAAAGGGAAATTAAAGAAAACCCTTTTAAATTTAAAAATACTTATTGAAAACCTTTTTACCCACCCAAAATTTAAATGAGTTTTTTAATTTTTTTAAACAGAACCAGAAATTTTACTTTTTTTCAGATTGTTTTGGGGTTGCCGAGATCGAAAACGGGGGACAAATGTTTGGGGGTTTTATTTAAAGACATTATTAAAATTAAAAAAAAAAAATAAGGTGAAATGTAAATTGTCCCGGGGAAAGCCTGACCGTTTTTTCTAAAACTTTCTTTCAAAATTCCATAAACTGATTTTGGGAAATTTACATGAAATTTATTCATTTAAAAAAAAAAAAGGGTTTAGAGGATTTAAAATTTAATGAATACCCAAAAAGACAAAAGAAATTGTGTTGAAAAAATTAAGTTTGAAAAAAATATGAATTTTTAAAAAATTTCTCCCGAAAAAAAGAAGAAAACAAAAACAAGAATTTAAAACAGGAAATAAAAATAAGAAAAAAGATGCCAGCGCCAAATGAACAGGGGCAGAAAAGGTAAGATTAAAAAAAATATATAAAAAAAATTAAAAAAACAGAATATTTCAAATAAAAGAAATTTGTTTAGCTTTTAAAAATTTTTTAAAAAAGATTTAAAAACACAAACCCATTCAACCCAATTTATTTTTTTTTTTTCCCTTTTTTTTTTTTTGTAATTTTGGGATAAAGGTTTCATTAAAAAAACATTTAGTTTTCAATTTCCTTTTTTATTTAGGACCCAGGGGAAAAAATTTTTTATATTTTTTTTAGGGTTATTAAACGAAATCTAAAGTTTCAGCCCTCACCAATAATCCATTTTTAGGACTTTTTCAGAAAATAGTTTAAGGGGACGCAAGGTTATCTTTTATTTTTGTTGGGAAAATTTTGTATTCAAAATGTTTAAAACAAAAAAAGGTTTTTATTTGTATTGTTTTTTTATTTTTAATATTTTAATAATATTATAAGAAAGGGATTTTTTTTTTTAATGGTTTACAAAAGTTTTTACTGGTTAATTTGGGGGTTTGTAATATTTTTTTTTAATAATTTAATATTATTTGGGTTAAAAAACCCATAATATTGTTTTTTTATTTTTCAAATAAAAATTAATGTTTACAAAAATTTTATTTATTTTTTTTATTATTTTATTGGGGTATTTTTTTAGAATTTTTTTGTTTTTTTAAATTAAAAAAATTAAAATGGTTGGCATGCTTTTTTTTTAAGAAAGGCTGATAAAATAGTTTTTTAATTTAAAAACAAAAATCAAATTTTATTTTTTTTTTTTTATAACAAAAGGATGTTTGTTTTTTTTACATTTAAAAAGGGGATTTTATAAAGTCCTTAAAAAATTTTTGATTAAATTTTAAAAATGAAAAGGTTTTTTTTTTTCTGTTGAGTAAAAGAAAAAGTCATAATTATCAAAAAGAATGGGGGTTTTTAATTTAAAATTGTTTTTAGATTTTTTTTTAGTGGAAAAGAATTCAAATTAGGCCATTTTTTCCCCATTGGGAAAATAATCTTTAGGTGGGTTGTATTTAAAAATTTTTGTTTTGTTTTTGAATTTAAATTAAAAAATCTGTACCGGTTTGGTTTTTTTGTTATAAGGAATTATAGGTGATTTTTAAAATTAATTTTGAAGGGACAAAATTCTTTGGATTGTATCATGGGGCTTTTTTTTTAAAATTTGGTTTGGAAAAATTTGGGTTGTTTAAATAACCAGGTATTCAGGAAAAAAGGTTTTTTGGGATATTTTATTACCCAGATATAAGTTTGGGGGGGAATGTGATATTAGGGTTTTAAATGGCTGATTTGGGTTTTTGAAATTTCATAATGTTTTTTTTATTTGATTGTGTAATTTATGTGGGTGGGTGAAAGATTTGGGGGGTGTTTTTTCTGAAATGATTTGGGGGTTTATGAGGGGGAAGTAGAATTTTTTTTAGGTTCGGAAAAGAATTTTATGGATTTTTTATTTTGAGTTCTTTCTTGGGGAAGTGAATTCGTTTTTGAATTTTGCTTGTTGGTCAAGGAAGGGGATGAATCTTTATTTTAAAGTTGTGATTCTGCTTTTTAATGTAGTTTTTTTTGTCTAAAATGGTTATACTTTTTGTCGGGGGAATAATTTGCTCTTTTTTTTTGAGTATGTTTGTGTTTTTTTGTAATTTTTATCGGTGTCCTTTTGTTTTAAGAAGTAATAGGTTTTGGTTTTAAATTTGATAAGTTTGGGTTAGGGTCCGTTTGGGGGTTTCCATATTTTTTGTTTTTTTCGGGGGAAGTTTAATATTTTAGTTTTTGGTTATTAGAAGTGGTTTGTCTGAATAATTTTAAGGGAGGTTAGGTTTTTGGAGAAAAATTTTCTTTTATTTCTCAGAATGTTTTTATTTTTTTTAAAGTGGATTCTTAGGGGAGGAGAAGAAAATTTAAAATGTCTATTGGCAAGAAAATAAAAAAAATTTTAAAGTTTTTTTTCCCCCTTTAAGAATTATGCAAATATTATATTTTTATTAATAATATGTTGTTGTTTTTGGTTTGGGGTTTGGGTTTATTTATAATTTATTTTACCCCTTAAAATATATGTTTTGGGCAGAAATTTACAATTAAAAATTTTTGGCTTGTGTATATTTCTTTTAATTTTTTTTTTTTATTTCATTAAATTCTTATATATAAAAAGAAAAAAAAAATTACAAAATTTAATCCTATTCCTTGAATGGTTATTATGGAAATAGAAGAGATCAGAAAAATTTTAAAAAAAGAAATTTTTTACAATGTTAAAAATAAATCATTCTTCCCCCAAAAATATGAGTTAATAAAAAAATAAAATATAGTTGAATAATAATAATAATAATAAAAAAAATAAAATAAAATTTGGTGGGCAATAAAATAAAATTTTAGATGGAAATAAATTTTTTTTCCTAAAAAAAAAGGGGAAAACAGAAAAAAGTTTTTTCCTTTTTCTTGGCTAATTTTGGTGAGGGAAAGGGACAGAAAAATAATTTTGTTTTTTTTTATTCTCCTCAAATTTTTGATAAAGTTTTAAATGAAGTATAGATAAGACTGGAAATTATTTGACATAAGAATTCGTTTGTGGTGGTAGCTACAAAAAAAAAAAAGACACACACACGTACACTCTTGATATTTCTTGTACTCTTGTATATGTTTTGATTTGATTTTTTTTTCATATTCTTAATTCTTGTTATTTTAAAAGGTCCTGGCACTTTTCGTAGGTCAAAAAAAAAAAAAGTGTCCCCTAAAATTTAGTCAATGTGTGGAAATAAAAAAAAAGTGAAGAAAAAGGACAATTTTGTTATTTTCTTTTTCCTTTTCTTTCTGAAAAGCTGTTATGACACCGTCACTCCTTTGATTTCTACTTCGGTAAAAAAAAAAAAAATAAATAAATAAAGTAAAAAAAAGATAACAAAAACGGTTGGTGTTACCTGTGAGGCATTTTTCTGACACCTAGCTTTGGCACCTGTCATAATGACTGAGCAACGATTAGCCGGAGTTTTAATTCGGTGATTGGACATTAATTTGTTGCTTTTTTTTCAACGATTGACTTACTGGGTTGTACCTTGTTTTTCGCGTATTACATGCCTGCAAAATTGACGGTGTATACATTTTCTTGTGCAGGTTACGTGTTTGCATGGTTACGTGTGTACGCGCGTGCGCACTCATGTTGTGTATGACTTTTTTGTGTATATATTGACGATTTTATATTTCGATTTCAAAAAGAATAATTCTGTGACACTTAACAATGTGTGCAAATGCAATTATATAAAGCTACTGTATCATTAAAACATGTTAAATTTGCTTATGTTGAGGGAATTCCAGACTATATACGAAGGAAAAAGCTTGACAGCTGAAGAGTTTTAAATTTAATGACGATTTTACCTATTTAGGCATTACTTTTTTGAGATCAAAATTATAATTAACTATATATATCATTGTGTTTACATTATTGGGAATGTTTGTGCGTTTGTGGAATGCATGAAACAGGATATAGTTGTTTCAAGTCACCTAATATATATATTTATATATATATACATATATATATATATATATATATTAAATATATATATATATATATATATATATATATATAAACCGTATCCAGCAGCAATTTTTTTTTAAGGCAGGGTTTATTTTGATTTTGTCAACGGCACAGTATACAATTGTTGGTGTTTCCGTGATCCAGTGCACCATGACGCAATTCATTCCGCCAGTGGTACTATACCCGTTAGGGTCCCAAATATGGGCAAATAGTTAACTATTACCTGTAATACTTTTTGAAAAAAAAATTAAGGACTAGCAATGAACATGGTTTAGGAGATATAAGAAAAAGACAAAATTTATTAAGAGCTACAAAGAACAGGAAATTGTGGAGAGTCATGATCGCCCACGTCCTGGTGGGTGTGGCCCATGGAAGATAATACCCAGAGAAAAATATAAGAATTTCATTTAGAACTTCATATAAATTTTATCCCTTTATCTGATGAGAATATTATGGTTGCTTCAAAACGAACACAACATTTGCTAAAAACACTTTATTAAAGTAAGTGCACAGAAAACTTCTTTCAGAATGCCGGTTAAATTTCTGCTTTTTTTTTTTTTTTTTTTTTCTTATACTAAAAATTCGAATGCAACAAATCTTTTTAGAGACCTTTTGGATTTGCTCTTTATTAACCCTCTACTTTTTAAATAGACTTTGTTTCACGATATATTAAGCGTTGACCTGATATTTATTTTCTAGCCAAAAATAGCTGAAGAAAGCCATTTTTAAATAGAAACACTGGAATGTGATATTGAGCGAGTTAAGTTCGCAGAAAATTCTTCTTTTTGGAGGGCACTGTCAACGGTATTTCTCTTCGTCTGCGATTACGTAAAACTTTGTTTGAAATTCAGAAAGGTGATTCCGTCGAACCCCGGGTGTTTTTTGTCTTTGCCCACGCAATGCCCGGGGCATGCCTCTTCTGGTTTTCTCTTCCTCTGATTAAGTGGCACGGATAAGGGCCTGGAATACATCGAACGCGGGCAAACACACACACACACACATATACACACACCAGAAACTGAAGCTATCTCCTTACATTATATAATCGCCTCCGTTAACATATAGATCCCCGCGAATCTAAATTTAGAAAAAAAGATAAAAGCGAACGCTTCATGTCAAGCAGTGCTTAGCGTGTGTTTTACTGTAAACCGCTAGACAAGAGTTCGATTCTCAGCGAAAGCTCAATGACTTCACTTTTGAGAGACGCTCGAAGTGCTCTTTTTGTTGAATCAATTTTCTGAGTACTAAGAAAATTGTTCCATTACATGTGTCAGACAATTTTTATCGCCAGAATCTATCTTACTTATTTATACATCTACCATCCGTTTGTGCAGTGAACATTCCCCTACATATTGTATGGTGCTTCTGCTATGTATCTAAAGATCCTTAACAAAATCCAAAGAAAAATCAGCAGTTTTTTATATGTTTTCACTGACACTGACCTGGCATCTTGGCTTCAGCTAATTACCTAGCGCCATAACGTAGCTTCTCTTTGACTTTTCAATAAATATTTTCATTGCAATTATTCTAATGAGCTATCACCTTTGGTACCTCGAATTAATACATTTAAACGCATTACTTGATTGGCAGTTAGGTCCCATTCGTTAACTATTGAAATAGCGAGAGGTAAGCGTAAGTTCTGTTCGAATATTTTATTCTCCCGCACTTCTCGCTTGTGGAACTCTCTTCCAGCTTCCCGTTTTCCTGTCAATTTCTTCTTCTTCTAGGTGCCGTGTCCCTTGAGGACATTGGCGATCTTGGCTCTCCACATGTCTTTTCTGTCATCTACGATCTTTATAATTTAAATACAACCTTAATCGTCACCTTCGATCTTCTTGAATCTTCTTTTATTGTCGTTTCTCCTCAATGACGTTTTTCCAGTTTTCTTCACTCTCAAAAATCCCTTCGCATCTTAGTGGCTTTGCCGCCTTGCGTAGGGTGAAATGATAACGAAGCAAGACACCTCTAGTATTTTAGTAGCGAACATTAACAAACATGTTTTTTGGTGCAGCGAACATTACTTGGACAGCAATCCTATTTCTAGTTGATTCGGCCGAAACGCTGTGAATATCTAGCAATAAAGACGAGGATAACAGTCCGAACAGTGTAAATAGTTAAAATACCTCATCTTAGAAATATAGAGAGATACTGAAGAAGGTCAGAGTATGCAACGGTCTAAACGTCGTGAATATGGCAATAAAGATGGGGACAATAATCCGAACAATGTAAATAATGTAAATAGTTAAAATACCTCTTCTCAGAAAAATAGATATTTCCTGAAGAATGTCAGAGCGTACAACGATCGAAACGTCGTGAAACTGACAATAAAGATGAGGACGACAGTCCGAACAATGTAAATAGTGTAAATAGTTACAATACCTCACCTCAGAAATATAGACAGATCATGAAGAAGGTCGAGGCGTACAACAGCCGAAACGTTGTGAATATGGCAATAAAGATGAGGACAACAGTCCGAACGATGTAAATAGTGTGTATATATAGACGTATATATTACTTAACTAATATTTCGGGGTCTGATGAGTTGGTGAAACAACGAAACTTAAGTCGCAACCCCAAACGTATATATCTATCTATCTATCTATCTATCTATCTATCTATATATATATATATATATATATATATATATATATATATAATAACCACGACTACTATGCAAGCTGTCAGCGCTGAAATAAATTTGCTTAACGATGTCTGAGTGTGCCGCGGTTAATATGTCTAAGCATTAATGTGTGTGAGTATGTGCATATATGTTTGAAATGTTCAAACGAACTTCTCCTTGAGAGTAGGTGCAATTATACAGCGTGAAAATGCATATTTAACGGTCGGGACATGGTCGGGACGTGGTCGGCTGATGGGGCTATGTGCGTAGGTAGAGATCAGCAGGCCCATGCCAAGAAAAGACCGGCGGCTCCCGCGATAAAACAGTTAGCAAGATTAATATATATGCATCGACAC